AGAGAATTTAGGTTCTTGGCAAAACTTGCATTGAAACCATGGGGACTATTTATGAAGAGACTGCAACATCATTCTTATTGTCATTTTGGTACCAGACAGCATCCTCCTACACTTTGAAGTTGATCACATTTTCTTATGATGAAAAAACTTCACAAGGTTTCCCCGCCTGACAGAATGTCTGGGTTGATAGCTATGGTTGAAAACACAACCATGTCTTACAGTACCTTTTAAACTGCCTTTGTAAAACGTTGACAAATAGCTTCAAACAGTTTTCTAGGCTTAAATATTTCTGAAGTGCAACAAAACAGTGTGAGTCAGAGGAGAGGAGGAAGCCAGTTGGGAAGTTCCAGGCAAAAATATTTACTGCTGTTAGTGATGGCATCTATTCAACCTTCAAATAAGCAAAATATTTTTTATTTTGCAACAGCTGCATTACTAACACACAGCATATTATTTTACATTTTTGAGTATCAGCAACATGAGAACTTGCTGTGATTTCCACAGAGCAGTTAAAGCACTCCCAAGCTGCATATATAGTGCCAAGAAGCCTGGGTGGTCCTTAGTCCATGGGGCTATCTCCTGGACTGGTTTATCTCCAAAGCAGACCAAATCAGATGTGTTCCCTGTGGGAGGTCTTCAGGCATCTGGCAACACTACTCCGCTTTCATCATGTTGTACTTCTCAGTGATGTCCATGGAGTTTTTCCTGAGTCAGAGTGAACAAATCTGCTTGAAAAAACCCTGTTAGCACAAAGTAGCTAAGTGATTGTGGCGTGGATGTACTGTGTATTATGGCAGAAATGAGGCAAACTGAAGTTGACATGGGTTACTGCCTGGCTGGTGTTTATTTTTCCAGTCAAGAAATGAGACATTAAAAAGGGAAGAGAAACATCTGACCTACACACAGACCTGAGGACACCTGATTTCCAACCTTGGTCCTGACAGTGAGGTCACTCCCTGTATCCTTCACTCTACAGCAACACATCCCATCTGGCTCTTAAATGTACTACACCAAGATTTCTAGGAATCTGCTGGACTTCTAGATGAAGGCACAACTGTCATCACTTTCAGCAGTGACTATGATGAATAGCCAATTAAAATGTATTTCTGCTATTTCCCATACTGGGAGGGTTTGAAGACAGCATCAACAAAACAGTCAGATCTGTGATTTGTAAAAATTCTAAAATATATCTCAAATATACATCTCATCTTGCTCTAGATATAAATTCTATAAAGTTTTTTGAACTAGTGGACTACATACAACATGTAAATGTAAACATATATGTAGCTTCCACAGCAGCAGGTGTAACAGGAAAATTAATTTAAGGTGACAACATTACTCATAGAAATTATTTGGGCTACTGCTCTCTCATCTTGAAATTATTAAATTCTTATTTGCCACAATAAACCAAATATTGTTATAGTTCTGAATATCTGTGTTGTATAAAGAACCACAACTTACTTACTGTGGATTTCAGTAATAGCTTTTTTTTTTAAGATGCAGAGAGATGTGGAGCTTTAGCTGATGTTGTGTTGAGGAATACAGAAAGCCATGTTTTGATTTCATGCTAAATAATTCAACAGATTTGTCTCAGTGTAACAATCGTTTTAATGTGGATGCCACTGAAGTGCAGATGAAAGTCACACTGAAGTTTCACTGTGAGACTGCAAAAAATCAAAAGTAACTAGGCAACTTTTGCTATGAATCCTCACAAGAGATTTTTTTTTTTTTTTTTTTTTTTTTTTTTTTTTTGTCTTCCAAATTTGTCACTATTTGGCTTATAAAGATTTCCATGCTGTCCTGAAACATTTCATAAATGCTGAATTAAGGCCAACATTTTTGTTGATTTACCATAGGCAGGATCAGACCTTGCATCATCAGTGTAACTAGTCAGGCTTTGAATTTGGAATGCTTAGCAGTGAATGCTTAGCAGCAATGGAAATGAAAGCATGACTAGATAAAGACTCCTCCAAAGTCACGTATCAATGCTGAAAGCTCCTGAAGGAAGAGTCATCATTGCAGTTGATATGATCAAATTTATTGAGTGACTCAGAATTCCACAGAAGACAATTGAGCTCTCCCACTCACTTTCACAAGTCTCAGTTTTCTTGTATTATTGGAAAAATGTTTGAATAAACAAAATAACTAACAGTTGTGGGTTTGGACCATTTTGAATCCTTGGTTAATGCAGACTAGGGATTGTGTTCATTTTGTGTAGTGTTCACTGTATCAGGTGGGGTCTGGACTGAATCTACATTTTAAGGCTTCACAGGATTTTACTCTTCCTCAGCATTGTATTTCTGTATTTTTTTGCAGTTTTCTACTGTAGCAAAGTAACTTTCCCATTTCCCATTTTGTGACTAAAACCAGTTATTTATCAAGACAGGTGCTAGTGCCGGCAATGATTCACATCATCCACTAGGGTGGACTAGTGATCCCTGGAGATCCTTTCCAGCCAGCTCTGCATGTATGTAGGAGCAGGCAGCCAGATACCAACTCCAACCACAGCTGTTGGCATTTCTTTTATTTTATGAGTTTTTGCAGCATGGACTATGGAAGTACTATGTACACAGTATGGAATGACTACGTACTATAGGTTTATGGGTGTAGATGACTTAGTTTCTAATCTAACACCACTCTCACACACAACTGTGCTTTATTTTTTTTGAGACCTGAATCACTTTTCTTACTTCTTGACTTACTAGAGTTAAGTCACGGGGCCTCGATGTACGTGTCATGTAAAATCTGAAATCCAAACAGGCAGTGAGAATTTCTGCCTGCTGTAACTCTGCTGCCTTCACTAGATATATATGAGAGGACCTTGGATCAACAGCTGTTGGATATGAGCTTGTGCAGTATCAGACCTGGAAACTTGCTCAGTTCTGTACAAACACTGCCTGAACTGTGTGAGTCAACAACCTCACAGTTCACTGAAGCAAATTGCTTAGGAAAAAGGTTTTGAGCCTATGTAATATACTTTTCACAGCAACTCTGTGAAGCAGAGTTGGAAAAAGTAATTTTCTGGTAATCATGAGGTTTTGCAGTTTTTAAATAACTGTGAGATTTTAAAGTAAGCATGTATGATTCTAAGAAAGCTGTAAAGGAGCAAAAAGAACCCTCTTTTAAAATTTATTTTCTTTTAGTTTTCCAAATTGTTACTCCTTCTAGAGGTGCTTGAAACTGATTGAATTTGACAGGAATTCAAAGCTATTGTTGCAGCTGTCACTTCTTTTTTTTCTATTTTTTTTTTTCTAAATAAGTGACTTATTCAAACTTGCTCTCAGCCTCACTCTCTAAATTACATCTGTTTTAAAAAAAATCCACTCCATCTTCCAAAGTACTTCTCTGTGAGGCCACAGGATACAGCACGTAAATCATAGCTCAGCTGGTGTGGGAAAACCCTTTTGCCAGAGTTTAAAACCTCTGGCTGGTTCAGGTGTGGACTGGAAGAAATAAATGAGAATGCACACGGGAAGCAGCAGAGCACTCCTGCTTTCTCATGGGCAGTAGGACAGGGGAGACCTGAGACTATGCCTGCTTTCGTGATGTAAATGGCAGGGTTCTCCTCCATCTGTGGCCCTCTGCCCTGTGCTCATGTATGGGATTTGTGTGGCAAGGGTCTGGTACTGATGGGGTGGCAAGGCGGCCCTCTGCCCTGTGCTCCAGCTGTGCTCATGTATGGGATTTGTGTGGCAAGGGTCTGGTACTGATGGGGTGGCAAGGGTGGCTTCTCTGAGAAGGCACTAGAAACTTCCTCCCATGTCTAGTGGAGCCAATTCCAGCCAGCTCCAAGACAGACCCACTGCTGGCCACAGCTGACCCCATCAGTGATAGCAACAGCTCCTTTGGGATAATGTATCTAAGGAAAAAAGTTATTGCACAGAAGCAATCACATGCAGAGAAGAGAGGAATGAAAATATGTGAGAGCGGACACCAAAGTCAGTGCAGAAGAAAGGGATGGAGGTGCTGCAGGGGCTGGAGCAGAGATTCCCCTGAAGCCCGTGCTCCATGGTGAAGCAGGATGATCCTGGATGGAGGACCTCATGCCAGAGCAGGTGGATGCCCATAGAACGCTCTCCTGCTGAGCAGGTTCCTGGCGGGATCTGTGCCCCCGTGGAGAAAGGAAACCCACATTAGGGCAGGTTTGCTGTCAGGACTTGTGACCCCACTGGGGAGCCACACTGGAGCAGCCTTTCCTGAAGGACTGCATCTTGTGGAAGGGACCCACACTGAAGCAGTTCATGAAGAACTGCAGGTCCTGAGAAGGAGTCACGTTGGAGAAGTTCAAAGGACTGTCTGCTGTGGGAGGACCCACACTGGAGCAGGGGAAAGGTGTGAGGAGTCCTTCCCCTGAGGAAGAAGGAGTAGCAGAGACACAATGTGATGAACTGACCGCAGCCCACATTCCCCATCCTCCGCTGTTGGGGAGGAGGCAGAGAAATTGTGAGTGTCACGGAGTCCAGGAAGAAGGGAAGGCTGGGGAGAAGGTGTCTTTCAGTTTTGGTTTAATTTCCCATTACCCTAGTCTGATTTGATTGGCAAGAAATTAAGTTAATTTCCCCAAATCCGTTTTGTTTTGTAACTGCTGAGTGATCTCGCCCTGTCCTTAGGTGGACCAGAGAGCCTTTCCTTGTATTTTCTCTCTGTCTTGCTGATGAAGGCCGAGACAAAGCGGCTGTGATTACCATCCAAGCCGGGGCCAACCCACCAGAGGTGCCCGGGTGCGGGTACCCTGAGACCCCTGGTGAGCGTCCCTTCAACCTTTCCCGTGCGTGCTGGGGCCTGGGCTCTCACCGGGGATCCCTCCCGAGTGCGGAGACACAGATTCCCCCTGCGGCTCCGAGTCGGGCATGAGCAACCGAGCGGCCCGGGGCCGCAGCTCCCGGCTGCCGCGGCGGCGCTGCCCGCCGGGAGCCCGGGCAGCGCTGTCCCCGAAGGCGGAGCGGCAGCGCCGCGGCGGGCGGGGCCGGGCGGCACCCAGGG